TTTTATGTGAAGTCTGTTAATAGCATTTTGTTTGGTTAATGGATTTCTCATAGTTGAACTAGGGGCATAAGAGACTATGATCCAAAATGTGGTTCTTTGTTAACTTCTTATTTGATTTATGTTTTGGTTCTTGTTTGATCACTGTCAAAGGTTATAACAAACAGCCTGTCAAAAGGGTTCTTGTTTGATTTTGCAAGTCTAGCTTCTACTCCGGACACCACCCATCTGCCTCATTGTGGCTGTAGAATTGAGTAGCAGTAAATGGGTGAGCAAGTACCAGACAGTATCATTCAAATGAACAGAAATTTTAGAGCTATAAATTAATATTACTTATGAGTAATATTACTCATAATAATACTTAGGAGTAAACAGCATAAGAAAACTGATGAAATTAAGGGGACTAGAGCTGGGTGTTGGAACAGGTGGAAATTTATTGGGAGCTATATTTCTTCAAGATCTAAAGTTGATAGTTCAATCAGTGACATAAGTACTACTCACTGTGGTAATTCTTTCAATTTTCTGATTGTTTCTTGCATGTTTAGTGGCTTGTTTTTGGTTGATATCATGCTTATGATTACTTTGAAGTTGGTTAAATGGTACATGGTAATTGTAACAGAAGAATGTTGTTTGGAGGCTCAGTGACTTGAGCTCCATTAAGAAATCTTGGATTAGGTTTAGGCTGGAGTTTGGAGTAATATTACTCATAAGTATTACTTATGAGTAAATTTTAGATCTGTAAATGCCTGGGGATGGAAAAATGAGCGTGTAGAAGATAGGTAGTTAATGTAGCTATTTACTCCTAAAAATGATTGGTGTTAATAAGACACAAAAAGAGAGCCAGGTTACTTCCGTTCTCATAGTTTCTAGTCATATTCTAGCATGTTAAATTTCAGTCTAGAAACTTGATACAATTTTTTGATACAATTTTGTTTGTTGTGTTTCCTTTTCTTATACATAAATGGGTGAGCAAAGAGAGTGTTCTTTTCTTATAAAAAGATGTTTTATCTTTTCTGCTTAGGTGTTTAAATATGTTTCTTGGCTTAAGTGTTTTATCTTTTCTGCTTAATTTGATTGGTTTTTTAGATTTCATATCTTTTCTGCTTGATTTAGTCATGGATGATAATGTGCGTGTGAAGTGGACAAACGAACTTACCAAACGGTTTCTAGAGACTTGTATAGAAGAGGTCCATAAAGTGGGTCGAAATGGAGGTAGTCTTCGCAAGGAGACTTGGGTGAAAGTGGCAACCAAACTTGAGAAAGTTTGCCATGTAAAACTCACCCAGAAACAACTGAAAAACCAATATGATTATTTGAAGGGAAAGTATTCGGGATGGGTGTACCTAAGGAATAAAACAGGGAATATTTATGACCCTGAAATGAATACATTCATCCTAACAAATCAAGAATGGGAAGATTTCTTTAAGGTTAGTTTTTATTCTTTTTTACCTTTTTAGATATTATAGACAAAAACACGAGTTTTATATAAATAATAATACTTAATTTGGACGCAGGGACATCCAAAGGCAAGAACATTAAAGACTACACCATTGATATACCCTGATTTATGTATAGCTTTGTTTGAGGGGACTTCTGCTACCGGATCTCGTGCTTATGCCCCTAGTTCAACCCGTGAGAGGACTACAATTTCATCTTCATCATTTACATCCAATATCCCTACTACTCAAGAAACTGAAAATGAGGTGGATGGAGATGAGGAGGAAGGACCAACCGTCAATATTGCGAGCACAATTCCATYTAGACCGAAGAAGAAGAGTAAAACCAAGGTCGAYATGGATGAATTGGCTCTAGAAATGAGGGGTGCACTTCAAACACTTGTTACACAACAAGCCACACTTGTTGAACAACAAACTGCACTTGTTGCACAACAAACCTCAAACCTGAATGCTTGTCTTGAACGGTTGGACACTCTTTGCCTTGATAAAAGAAGTCCTCTTTATGGTTCAGCCATTGACATTTTTGGGCAGTCAACATTAAGAGAGACGTGGTTGTCGATCCCTTTAGACGCTGATATATTAACGTCATGGATTTCAAGGACGGCAAGACGAATGGGGCTTATGGATTAGTTTTAGGAATTTGAACAAGTTACTTCTTTATGTGATTTGAATTTGAACATGTTATTTGCTTATGTGTTTGATATTTGACAATTTGGTTACATGTTTTGGATGTTGAACTAATTGTTATTTGGTAATGCATTTGATATCAAAGTTTACTTCTATTTGATATTTTATTTATGTTTTTAACAGGTTTATCATGGATAATAATCAAATCATCATTAATAACAATAACTTATCATGGATAATAATCAAATCATCATTAATAACAATAACAACACTATAGTTCTCATCATCGTATTTTTATATATGTTCTACTTGCGACAAAGGCGCTTAAAAAAGAAAAGAGATAATATGTCTGCAATAACTGGACGTCAATTTACGAATGAGCTACTTGAAGGTAGTGATCGACAATGTATTGACTTGTTGCGCATGTCCCGTGAAGCTTTCATTCGATTATGCGATCACTTTAAAGCAAAAGGTTGGTTAACGAATAGCAAACATATATTGGTTGAAGAAAAAATGGCTATCTTCTTGATGATTATAGGTCACAATGAACGTTATAGAGTGTTGAAAAACAGGTTCCAACACTCAACACAAACAATTCATAAAATTTTTCATGAAGAGTTGGAGAAAATGATGGAGTTTGCAAAAGAGATCATAGTTCCTACATCATTCAATCCTAATCCAGACATCCCTGGGAATAATAGAAGGTTACGACGAATGTTTGAGGTAAATAATAATTCGATAATAGTTGTATAACTTTCCTTACTAAATTTATTTTGACTATTGAGCTTTAATGTAGGAAGCAATTGGCGCCTTGGATGGAACTTTAATACATGTTATCGTCCCTATTCAAGAGCAACATTTATATAGAGGACGAGGAAAGGGTGAATGTTATCAAAATGTTATGGCAATTTGTGATTTCAACATGGTTTTTACATTTGTTGTTGCCGGATGGGAAGGAATTGCACATGATTCTAGAATTTTGTCTGAAGCTTTAACAGATGGTGATATTGGATTTCCATTTCCTCCTTCAGGTATACTATTGATTTTACTGGTATTATATTTGCTATATTCATTTGAACAAGCATTTTATTTATTGTTTTCAGATAAATATTACCTATGTGATGCTGCGTATACAAATACTCGAGGATTTATGGCGCCATATCGTAATGTTAGATATTGGCTCGGAGATTTTCGTCGTCGACGAGCAATGAACAAGTATGAAAAGTTTAATCATTCTCATGCAAAACTTAGAAATGTTATTGAACGTTCTTATGGCGTCCTGAAAGCACGTTTTCCAATATTGAAAAGAATGGCACCATTTACACTTGAGGTTCAAAGAGACGTTGTTATTGCATGTTTTGTGGTTCACAACTTCATACGAAAGGAAGGTTTAAGTGATGAGCTATTTTCTGAGTATGATCAAACCAACGAACAAGGGAACGATGACGATGATGAGGCTGAAGAGATTCAATCGCATGGGAGTGCTGTTGACCAAACATATATGGCTAGTTTAAGAGAAGAAATTGCAACACAACTTATGCAAAATGAATATTGATTCTAGTTGTTATGAGACTTTATTCATGTTTTCTATTGTGTGTTGAATCAATTGACGTATTTCAATTGAATTTTTGAATGTGTTAAAAATATATGGTAGTTTACAAATGGTTTAAATGACTGGATATTTAAGTTAAATTTAATTGAAATGAATTGATTCAGATTTCAGACTTCAGAAGTTTGTCAGTTTACAAAAACAAACAGTCTTATTGATTCAGATTTCAGA